GTCCTGGTTCAGTCCTGGTTCTGTCCGGGTTCTGTCCTGGTTCAGTCCTGGTTCAGTCCTGGTTCAGTCCTGGTTCAGTCCTGGTTCTGTCCGGGTTCTGTCCTGGTTCAGTCCTGGTTCAGTCCTGGTTCAGTCCTGGTTCAGTCATGGTTCTGACCTGGTTCAGTCCTGGTTCAGTCCTGGTTCAGTCCTGGTTCAGAGGCAGCCCCAGTCTGCGGGTATTCTTCCCGTTTAATTACTAGAACTATTAAAGTGGAGTCTGTATGACAGCAGGCATTTATGTCCATCAGGAAACATGAGTGGAGCGTTAGCTTTTCAAAGTTTACAACAATTTGTGTCTGCAGAATGTTTAACTGAGGTGAAGCGTAACTTTTACCTTCTTACAGGAGCAGAAACGGCCTCTCCCCATCAGCTTTATCTGTTATTCATCTGATTGTGCTGCTGTGTGTTTGGGTTTGTGAGAAAGTGGTGGGGGGGGGGGGGGGGGGGGGGGGGGGGGGCAGCAGAGGGAACGGGGCTAATGGGCTACGGCTAGGTGGAGCGGCGGGGTAAGACTGGGGTGAAGGTTTAAGTTGAGGGCAGAGGGAAGAGAAGAGGAGTGTGTTGGTCTGCCCTCTGGGCGACCCCCTCCACGTGTGAAAGGCCAGAGGAGACACGCTGCATACCAAGTATGAGCTGAGCAGCAGAGAAAACAGCCACAAAACCGCTGCTAACCACCGTTCACATGTATCAGATAGAGATAGAATTCATCAGAATGTCACGTTATCATTTCTGTTAATCCTGAGCCTCATTCAAAGCATAACAATAATATTAATCTATTTACCGAAAACAGTGGTTAAACAATTAGATAAAAAATATAAAGTGGCTTTCACATGAATGTCTTGACCCTAAAATGTATCATATTTGATGCATACAGTTTCTGAGGTGTTTTGAACTCTGAGATATGCCTGATAACAGCAGGCAGAAGAAAACACAACAACAATTGTACTTATTGCATAGTAATATATGATGAATATTCAAAGATTATTTGCTTCTGCTTTTTCAAATTTTCTTAGAAATACAAAAAATCTCTATTTTTAAAGGGTTGGGTTTGTGTGTTTGTGTCGGGTCTGGAACGGAGCAGAAGGGTTTTTGTGGCCTTGAACAGAGCTGAGTGTGTCATCCTAAACTCAGAGTTTACTCACTAGAAGCAGCAGACCTGCAGAGCTCTGGTGGGTAAAAACACTGTCTGCCTCTGACCCAGCTCCATCAGGGCAGACGCACCCCCAGTGGGGGAAGAAATGAGTTTAAAATAAGTTATTAATGTTTTAGGCAAAGTAATCTGAAGGATCTAACAGTCCACATTTAACAGAGTCAGAGGAAGCTGAACCTTTGTGTCCAAAAAGTCCTTTAGCCACTCTAACATGTTCTTTATGGGTCACCAGTTTTCTCTGTCTCTAAGCTTTTAAAACCTATTTCTGATGATTGATGAGAAAAGTTTTATTTTTGTGGCACCAGGTCTCAACAAATGTCCCCTCCAGGCCCCTCAGAGACACAACTCCATTAGAGGCCGATTAACTGGGACGTAGCCATTATCCAGTCAAACAAAAGGACCAGACCAGTCCCTGGTGCCTACAGAGGTCTTCAGGGTCCAGATCCCTGAACCCTCTCAGAGGTCCAGCTGGTCCCTCCGGTCCTCAGCGGGTTCTGGTCCAGCAGACCTGCTCCACATTAAAACATCAGACCGTTTCCAGCTGCTGTACAGGGTACAGGAGGAAGGAAAACCGCTCTGTAAGCCCCCAAAAACAGTTTTAAAGCCCCCCAACTGTAAAATTGTGTGTGCTTTGTAAGTGGCCTTGGATCAACAGGTCTGCTGAACGCAGCCCCTGGACCCCAGCAGGAGGACACGGCCTGAAGCAGCCGGTCAGGAGCTGCTGAAGCAGCCGGTCAGGAGCTCTGGACATCTGAGGGAGGAGGAGATCAGAGTTCAGACGTCCAGAAGAATCACCCTGATGCTCTACTCACATCTAATGTCCAGACACAGGAAGAGATCCTACACACACACACACACACACACACACACACACACACACAC